TGTCCAAGTCATGCATACCAAAGAGAATTTTACAATGAATAGGCATATAAAGATGGAAAGGAAAGGGTAAATACAGAGAGGATACAGAAAGACTAGAACTTCTGTGATAACATTTACCAGCATTTTCATCAGACTATGACATGTAGCAGTAACAAAGCAACGATGCAGGAGAAGCAAAACTTTTCCAAAAGTCTGTGAGATGAACAAATTTACATTGTCAGTAATTGGCAGAGCCAATTTAAACCTGAGTCAGAATCTGAACTCATTATTGCTTACTTGCCCCAGCCTTGCCTTGTTGTTGCTATTTAGCGACCTACAAAATTAACCTTATAAGAACATTTGAAATAAAACCAGACTGAGAAACTTAAACTCTGTCCAGCTATTAGAACCCAGCTGGTCAGCTGTGCCATTTTCTAACGGATGTGAAAACTGAGCCCCAGAGAGAAGATGCTTTGCCCAGCATCAGAGCCTTTCAACCCACAGCCAGCCCTAGAAAACCTTCCGACTTATGGTCCACGTGATGGTTTCTGTCCAGGGAACTGTTTCTTAAAAAGCATCTGCTGTCTTAAAGTCATGTTTGTATCCAGTAACAGACTTTGAAACTTTCCCCCAGATTCACATCTCCCATGTAGGTTTTGGGTCATACTTCATGGTACAACTGAATCCATGTGTAAGTCCAAACTCAGGTTCCATGACAGTAGTAGTATAAGCTTCAACTTTGCTAGGGCTATAAATAATAATATAAAGCAGTCAGGCACTTATGTCACCTGCAGAATCCATTGTGTGGAATTTGAAAGGGGACTTGTCCTGAGAGCCGGGAGATCTGACTCTGACTGTGGAATACCCTTGGCTACCCCTATGTCCTAAACCCTCAGTTCATTTTTTTTTCTATGCCATGGTTCCCTCTTTAAGTCTACCTTTGAAAAATAATCCTAGAGAATACAGACCTGCCTTCTAGCATCCGTGTGTTAAATGGAAACAGAGTCTCTACATCACCTGCACTTCTGAAAAGGTGTACACGTGAAAATTCCAAAGAAAATCACCTAAAAACCGCTGTTCTGTTGTTCTCTTTGTAGTTTGGTTATGTGTCCAACGCTATAGAAATGCCAACATCTGGCACATGACCTTTGGAGACTGTAGTTTTCTGCTCACTATAATTTTCTTGATACTCATCCAAGTTGTGTATAACAAAAGCTATTTATTTTTATTGCTAGTAATATTCTACTACATAGATATACCATCCTGCTTCATCACATGGTCCTTGAAAGTCAATTTGACTTGTGTTCAGAGGGCAATTACTAGGCATATAGCTGCTACCATTGTGTACAAGTTTGCACGAGACCATATTTCCTTTCTTGGAAACACAGAGGATGAGGATGTTTTAGTGTTTGTTGTAGTTGTTTTGCTTTCAGTGTGGTTTCACAAAGTGGCTGTGGCGCTTGAGATTCCAACAGGGTTAGTGTGGGAGCCGCAGGTTCTGTGTTCTCATCAGTATTTTATGGATGTTGTCATTGTTTCGCTCCAGTTCTACATGTAGATCTTTAGTGACCTTGCGATATGCTCTTAATTTTTATTTCCTTGGTGACAGCAGCATTGAACAATGTTCAAAGCTTATTCAGTATCTAAGCTTTTTCCAGGGACGCTGGTCCTCCACTTTCATGTCTTTTGCCTTTACTTTAATGGGCAATGTTCTTTTTTTTTTTTTTACTGTTAGGTACTGAGTGTTCTAGATATAAACCCTTTTCAGACCTGTTTTACAAATCTCTTTTCCCATTTTGCAGTTTGCTTTGTCGTTTCTGCCATAGGGTGACTTTCTCACATCAGAAGTTCTCATTAGGTTCAGTTTGTCCTTTTGGGGGGGGGTATCATATCAAAGAACTACTCACCCATCCCTGCTTATAGAGGAATTTCTTCTAGTCTAAACTGTTTGTATTTTTATTTTTATATTTAGATATATGATCCATTTTCCTAGATTTTTAAATTATATTTATTACCTCATTTTTTTTACTCATGTGTATATGTTTTTGTATGTATATTTGAATATGTGGATGTGTACCTTGAGAGGCCAAAAGAAGGTGTTGGAGGTCCAGGTAGCTGGAGTTACAGGTAGTTGTAAGCCTCCTAAAATTTGTACTGGAAATTCAGCATGGATCTTCTACACAGAGAGCACTCCTAATGCTGAGTCATCACTCCAATTACTTGCCAGATTATATTTTATATGATTTGTTTTCTTTGCTTGTGACTATATGTTGAGAAAAGAAGAATATCTATGTTTCTTTCAACACATCTGAATTTAACAATAGGTAGTTTAAATTTTATCATTTTTATTCTCTTACTAATAAAAAAGTCATTGTACTATATATCTCTAAATACAACTTATCCTTAAATGAGAAGACTATTAACACACCCAATAAATTAATGAACCAAATTCCATCTAGATGTTCTGATTCTTTCCTAGTTGCTATTTAGCTTGTCTACATGCCTCAAACTAAATCCAGTCAGGGCTCACTCATTGGTCTTCAAAGGTCTTTTAAATAGACCCCAGCCCCATACTCTCTCTTTTACTTCTCATAATATGATGATGTATTGGAGAGAGGTCAGTAGTTGTCCTGAACATCTTGACTTTCACGGTCATCAGGAAAGTTATGAGCTATCACTTATGGGGCCCAGCTGAGTGAGAAAGAAAAAATAGCACGGTGGAAATAAACATTATGCAGGTTTATTCAATCTAATGAAGCCATTTCTTAGCTACTCACTATGTGTCTCATACAAACCACACCTTGAGGGGCTAGACATTGGGAAGCCCTGCCTCGTCTCAAGGAAACAAATTAATGGCTGAAAAAGTTACAAAATCTGAGCAGAAAGTTCCCAAGAGGTCTCCTGGCGAAAAGAAGCAAGGATTGAAACCCAGTTTGGTTTAGATGATAGTAAATAGTTATGGGCGCACCCAGGTGAAGATACCACCTTAGGTTAGTATGTTCATTCGCTAATTCATTTATTCATTGAATTAATTTTGAGTCCCGTGGATACTAGAGAAGTAAAATTAACCAGATAAATAGAGTAGTATACAACTTCTACACTACAGGTGAAACTTGTTTTCTCCCATAATTGAGTCATTTGTTATCGCATTGATGTCAGGCGAAGATGTGACAAATAGTACAATTCTAGATGAATTAAAACAACTTAAATGCTTTTTTCCCCTTTTAGTTATAGAAGCTGAAAGTGTAAAGTCAAGGTATTGATAGACCCATGTACTTCCTGGTAGATTTGTGGAGGGTATGGTCTTGTCTCTCTCCAGAACCTCCTGGCTGATGGTAAGACTTGGAAGTCCTTGATTTGTGGATTCCAACTTCAGCCCACGTCATCATGAAACCTTCTTCTTTTCATATCCCTTGCTTTGCTTGCACAAGGACACCAGCTGAGTCAGATCAAGGTCCCATCTACTGTAGAATGATGTATGCTCAAATTCACCTTTTCCCCATTTCCAGTGAAGGTAAACTCTAGGAAGTATAGGATTAGGACTTCAACACTTGCATCCATGCTTCAGGGTAACACGACTCAACTTATAATTGAAGGAACTGTACTTATGAATACCTTGGGTACAACTTCCTTAAAAACACTGACAGAGTTTCCGGCAGAACAGTGCTCTGAACCTAGACTGAACTATACAGTCCCCAGAGAGATAGGGTATGCCAGGACTCTGACATGAGATTTGATAAGAACAACCTATGATCCTAGAAGTTTTATGTGCTCTTTCCTTTTATTATTGAAAAGTAATGGCACATTTAATGATATTATGGTGTAGCCATCATATATTCTGCGATGTAAGTTGAAGTTTTGAAATACCAGCATCTACGTTGGATTTAACAACAAATTTATATGTCTGGTTAAGGAGGGCATGCTTCACCACTTAGAGGTTTCTTGGCAACTGAGCTATTTTTACCTAGAGAGGAAAAGAGGAGCTGAGGGGTATTTAAAAGGACAGAGTCCCCACTGTTTGGAATTATGAGTCTGTGTCCTTGTTTAATGGCTTCCTGGACAGCTGCCTCCCCCACTAAGGCAGATCTCGAGTGCCTCAGCCAGCACACACACGGTCTCTCTGAATGCCGTCTCTGCATTGCCTTGGTGTGTGTGTGTGTGTGTGTGTGTGTGTGTGTGTGTGTGTAGTGGAGGATGCCAGGAGGCCATGCCTAGCATCTATGATATTGTCAATAAAGGTTTGTTAGATGACGGAATGCTGCGGGGAAGCAAGTGTGATTCCTACTTTAGGGACTCTGCAATTTATTTCAATTTTTTTTTAATAAACAGTCCCTGTATACCACTGCCATAGCTCAGCTATGTGTGTCAAAGATTCACCTTAGCTCAGAAAATCTTCATTTGTGGTTCCTTAGCTATTAGCTGATAAAACTCAAAAGACAAAAAAAAAAAAAAGACAAAGACAAAGACAAAACAGCTTGTGAATCACCTGGTAGCTGTCTTTGAAGTTTAGGTCAAATTATTTTTGATAGATCTCTCAAAGCAGGTTGGCCACGATTTCACTGTATACTGAGGATAACCTTGAACCCTTTGTTCCCACCTTCCAAAAGCTGGGAGTAAAGGAAGGCATGTGCCACCCAGCTCGATTATGGGGTACTGCGGATGGAGAGCAAGGCCTGTTTGCACGTTAGGCCAGCATCCTACCAACACTGAGCTCTGTATCTCCAGCCTTTACTATCATTGTTCTTGCCTCTCCCTATTCTCAAAATATCTCCAGAAATTCCAAACAGTGCCTTATTATATATGCACACATATGTACACCCATACGTCGGCTTCTTTGAAATGATAATATAACAATATCTTTTCTCCCTTTTCCTCCCTTGATCTTTGCCGTGCATCCTCTCCTTGGCACAGCTCCACTCTTTCAGTGGCTCATCACCCTGAGCTGTCTCCAGTTGAGGATTTCTGTCCAGGGGGACAAAATGCTTAGAGATTCTTCCCTCAAGATGATGACATGGAGTTGAGAAGAATGAACAGCATTTTCTCAGGTGCCTTTGTTCAGATCATCAAATTCTCATATCCATCATATGGTTGCCGCTCCCAGTCACAATCCCAGGCAAGAGTCTGTCAAGTGCTGTGGTCTGGTCAGTGCTCTATTGTGTTTTATTTGGTCCTCACATAGGCATTGCCATCACCCTCTGAGGGGCCAGGAAATATTCTTTTCCACCCAATGAAAGACGCAGTAAATAGGAAGACCAATGCAGCATGACGGTGAAACTCAGAGCTTAGCCATAGAGCTGAGCATTCTGAATTGAAATCCCTGCTCAACATACGCCTCATTCCATCCAGGGCACGCCATCTGATAGCCCTGTGTTCTATTGTTATAATTAACCAAGGAGTGATGATTATGATAAGATTACCCGTCTCGTAGGAATATTGGAAAGATTAGGTTTGAAAGCATGCAGGGCTCTGGGTACATTTCAGAGAACATACATTCAACAAGTATTTGTTCTTTTATCTCCACTGATTAGATGAGGAGACAGATCCTGCGGAGTTAAATGACTACACTGAGGTTGCACAATTTTTAAATAGACCAGCTGAAATTTAACCACAGGCAATTTGATTCGTACAGCTTTTATTCCAAACCTCCACGCGGAGCTTCTAAATAGGGCTTAATCGTGAAACCCACAAGCCATTGAGGAGCTGGCATCATGCCATCTAAATCCACAGGCCAGGGACAGACAGAGATGACAGGGCCTCATAGGACATCCCAATGGGCTGGTGTGAATGTGAAATACGATTCTGTTGGGTGATTTCTGAGACACTCTCCAAACCGGGTGGAGGCACTCTGATTTAAAACCCTCCCAGTCCTGGAGCCTGAACTGCAGCAAAGGTCAAGAGTTGGGATCTGGGAATCTCTCGTTTGCCTTTTGAAGCCTGAGCTAACCAGAGTTTTAAAAGGAAAAAAAAAGTAATTGCATTTTTGCCTTCTCTTTTCTTCTTATTTAGTAGATTTGCCTGGAGGACAGGCTGTTCTGACAATGGGTTTGGAAAAGAAGCTGGACACCCAGGGTGGTAGAACGCAGTCTCTATGTCCTGAGACCGAGTGAGGCTGCCCTGCTGGGGTATTTAGCCTGGGTGTTGAAAAGAAAAGCTAAGGCAGGCAGGAGCCCCATCACACACCCCTGGTGCTCACCTCATGCTTATCTCATGGATCCATTTGATCACAGCTGTGCCTGACTTTTGACAATGGAGTTTTGGTGACAAATAAAAGCTGTGACTCTGTGTTTTATAAGAACACATACATTTTCCCCCCTTCCTTGTTATTTTTTATTATGTGCATAGACCTGAGCCAAGCTTTGCTAGGCTCCAGGAGTTTCTTGTTTTGCTATTTTTTCCCCACCCTTCTTAAAACTGGCACCGTGAATATTGCATGGCAGAATTGATTCAGAAGCAACTTGGGAGGCGGGGGCTAGCCAGGATTAAATAAAAACCAGCATGGCAAAACCAGTGGGGTTGCTAAATTTGAGAAGAAGCTTTGCAATGGAGACTGATTGCCAATGACCCTCCTCTTTATTAGAAGAAGTTCAGGGTCCTTAATTAGGCATTTCAGGTCATTGTTTTCCGTGTATAAGGCAACCGACTCCTTGATTTGATGCTCTAACTTATTTTTATTCCGAATGTGAAATCTGATAGGTGTCTTTCGGAAAGCCCCTTACCAAAAGCAGTGTTCATTCTCCCCTCTGTCACATGTCCTTCGCTATCACTGTCTCCCTCTTTATATCTCCTCCGCTCAAGCCATTCCATTGGGATTCTTATGGCTGACAAATTTATTTTTACAGTTTCTGGAATTATTGCCCCAAAATCCAGCTCAGGTCTGCGAAACACAGTGCCTTGGGCCTACAAAACAGCCCTGAACCCATGAGAGTTTGTTTTGAGCACACTCAAGTAGGAGCAAAGGATTTTAGGGATTTCCTCATTCGTTTGACCTGTTATTGTCTCCAACTCCCCGTGTAACTGGAAAGCGATTTCAAAACATTCGGTGAACTATATCCTGCAGTTTGCAAATCATTCCTTGCAAGTGCTTTAGATTGTCTGAGCTCGAGGTTTCGGGTTTAAACGTTTTGTGTTGTGATTTTACGATTAATATTTTGGTGCTGTTGTCCCACAAGGGAGCTCCCTAAACCTCATAGAAAACTATGCTGAAGTATAAAGAAGTATTGTAAGAAGAAAGCTTAGGGGCTCTTGTATTCCCCCTGATTACCAAATCGTGATCAATTTCTTGGGGATTTTTTACTTCTGAATTATCTGTACAATTACTTAGAAGGTCGCACTCTTTCACTCTTGTCCTTAACTCCCTCTCTATTTTGTCACCTCACTTTCCTTTTTCCCCACTTCCCTTCCTGTCTCCCCTGCTCTGCCATGTCAATTCTAAATACCCCATAACACCTGTGACTTATATACATAACTCTGCCTGAGCATGATTCAGGACCAGCTACAAAATTATTGTCTATCAACTCCACCCCTCCCCGTAAGCAATTTCACTTTGCTTTCTAGATGAGTAGGGTTTTCGGATAGAGGGTTCAAGAAGGGGATTTGCTTCCTCTCTGAGCTGTTTTATCCAGCGAGAATCCTACATCTAATTTTCCAAAGCTAGATATCTTTGGTGAGCATTTATGCAGTGCCCGAACCTATTAACATGGGTGATTTCCCAACATTATTATGCTGAGAATCATGTAGTTCTCCTGGACCAGGTTCCAGCATCCTGGACTCCATAGTTTTCTACCGTACCCAACCTGAAAAGTGCATGGCCTCCAGCAACACTCATCATGGAATTGAGCTGCTTTCCCTGCAACACCCTTCAGATGGCTGCATAGGTAAGTGCACCTTTGGGAGAATGCTTGCCTATCAGTGTTTCTGGGAGCGAGCACTTTGGACAGAGGGGATGTTTCTGGTATGATTTAGCTTGGTGATTGTTTTTGTCAGGCTTCTATTGCTCTGTCAAAATACACAGGGTAATAAAGTTTAGTTTACAATTTCTAGGCCTTCAGTCTGTTGCTGCTTGGCCTTTAGTTTGAAGATCTGTACCATGACAACACATAATTACTATAGTTATGTAATAAAGTAAGTTGCCCACCTTATGGAGATAGGGAAGCAAAACAAATAGTAAGAGAGAAAAGAGGCCAGAGATGTAATATCTCCTTCAAGAGCACACCCTCGATGACCCCAATTCCTATACTTTGCACAATCCCTAAGGTTCCACCTCTTTCCATCAGTACCAGGGTCTAAGCACCAAGCCTTCAACAATTTCAACCTCTTTCTCCTAACAGCTTTTTCCAATATCCCACAGCATGCTGTCTATTCTGCCTTTGTAGCTGGGACACAAATGATCCATTTGGTCATGACCCCTTGCAAGCTAGATTGATGCAACAGCCTCTTCATTTGTCCCCCTGCTTCTCTGCATGCTCTTCTGCAAGCTTCTCTCTATGTGGTGGCCAGAACTGTTGCAAGTGTTGCTGGAAGGATGGCAGTGGGAGGTAAATATGTGGTTATAAACCAACAGCATAAAGGATTCACATAATGGAATTACAAAATGGCTGAGCTGGCAAACAGATCACACATGGAATTAAAAAAAAGTAAATTCTCTCTCTCTCTCTCTCTCTCTCTCTCTCCCTCCTCTCTCTCTCTCTCTCTCTCTCTCTCTCGCTCTCTCCCCATCTCTCTCTCTCCAAGTATAATAAAAGATACCTATTACAGGTTGAAGGACTATACCAAACTCACTTAGCTGTTTACGGCCGCATGTTGACTAAGACAGATTTAGAAAATGTAACTAGTAAGAGAATGGCGGTAAAGAGGAAAAAGAAATGGGATCTGTATGAATTATTACTCCGCTATGCAAATCAGCAATTGTCTTACATAAAAAGTTGAATGTAAAAATTTTCAGTTCCACTTTGTGGGTAGCAGATGGGGTTATTGTAATCATACTGCCATTAATTTAACTTGTCTTCAGTAGAATGACTTATCTTGCTTGGAGAAAAGAATCTTTTATGTTCTGAGAGAGAGAGAGAGAGAGAGAGAGAGAGAGAGAGAGAGAATAGTAGAATAGTAACTGATTGGCTGACCTTATTTGACAAAGAATTTTAGAAAGAAGATGTTTAATTATTAAAAGACTTTTTATAACAGAGAAACAGATTGGTCCCTAGTAGCAACATCCCATTTTCCCCAAAGAAGACAGAAGACAAATGGGCACAAAATGGCCACAAAACAACACCCATTCTCAATTTGCTTCAAGTGAAAGCATCAACCACTGGGTTAAACTGACACTCATCTAAACTGAAGATCTCCAGACAGTGGACGAAGGAGAAGAGGAATCAATGGAAGCCTAGCTGCGCAAGGCAAGGTGGGTTTATCTTCCTACAGATTTACTGACCCACAGTATCTTCTAAAACCTGAAAGGCCCTGCACTAATCACCTGAAGACAAACACAGTCCTGATGCTCTGTCCTTGATGACCACAGTCAGGGCAGGTCTGAGCATTGGCTCTAGGTAGCCAATTGCTTAAATTCTCTGTGATTTTTCTAATCAATATCTCAAGTAAAATTTTATCCTTCTTAAGGATCTCTGATGCAGTTTGACAATTGAGAGGTTTTGTCGATTTAAAAAGGACAACCTTGCCAAACAAATTTAAATTTAACTTCTCACCATGTTCTAATTAAAGAATGTTTTTAGATACCAAATGCAAGTTAATAAGGTGTGTACCTGCAAGTAATAAAGGTCTGAGGACAAATGCAAGTTATCAAATCTCACTGTCATGCTGACTTTTATAGTCTTAACATTATCAATGAAATGCTAATAAGTTATTAATCTAACCCTGGCAGAGTACTAATGCTACCACTGCTACCTGATTAAGATTTGAAATTCTCTTTGGTCATTTTCTAAAGAGACTTTTCATTGTACAAAATATCTGTCATAGTCATCCTGACATAAATATGCTGCTGTTTGTACAATACATGTTTTTAAAAGTTATGTTTTCACAAACTCAAAGAATTCTTGTGAGTTCCAAGGGGCCAAATTGAAGGATTCATCTTAAACAGATCAAATACACCCCTCTTAGTTCCATGGTACTGAAATTGTTTTCTTCCTAAGCTTAACCTTGTCTTCTGCTATGCCAGCACCTTGCCAGGTCCAAGATACACCAGACAGCTCCACATCACAAATCCTGGACAGGAGTGAAGCAACCAGCTATTTTGTGACCAGCATCCCAGATTTCTCAGGTAACCCAAGACTCCTACATCCACAAACAACCAAGACGAAGTCTTGAGAACCTGATGCCCCATCCCATCAACCTGCTGTACCTAACTCCCCACCTTTTAATTATAAGTAAAAGGTGGGCCTATTCTGTTACCTGGGTACCTGTCCCTCTGTTCCTTTAAGATTCAAGCCCTGGCTACTCCGAATCTCCCCATTCTGGAGCTTCCACTCCAGGTCTCTGTCTGTCTGTCTGTCTGTCTGTCTGTCTCTGTCTGTCTGTCTTTCTCTCTCTCTCTGTCTCTCTCTCTCTCTGTCTCTGTGTGTGTGTGTGTCCATTCCTCTTCTGAAGAGGCAGCTTCTGCCTCTCTCCCCTTTCTTCCTTCCCATGACCACTTACGCTTATACCATTCCCCAAACCCACTAAATAAACTCTATACTGAAGCACTCTCTTCATGGTGTGTCTGTCTGTCTCCTGCCCACCACTGCCTTAGGTCACTGGCATCATGATTTAAAACAGTTGTTAAAATGTAGAGCTTTAATGATCCTCAGTACAGTCTCCTGGAATTGAAGAGAATGTAGGGACAAAGAGAGGCCATAGCAGGCAGTATCTCCGGCCCCTCTGTCATCTAAACTACTGATTCTGGAGTTCGTTCACAACACAAATGTTTTGTCTAGAGGACACAATGACTGCTTCTGAAGAGAAAGGGAAGCAGCATGCAAATTTGTACCATGCATTGTTGGAGACACCCACTGCCCCGTATGTCCCCTGAAAGTATAGCAAAGCATTTCAGTGAAGCACTCTCTGAGGACCTTGAGTATATCAGAGGCTAGGATATCAGATATCAGATACTGTGGACAGTTAGGGAATACCAGGCATGTCAGCTTGGGAGGCACTAAAACTTGGTATCATAATATAATCTTTTGAGAAAAGAAGAGCAAATAATGGCTGGGAAGCAATTCAGGAAGCAATGAAATAGGCTTTGTAGTCATGAATTTTCCAGTGTTTGGGAAAGTTCACTCTTGCCAGGGACAGCATGGGAAATCTTGTTAAGGGACAATTTTCTAATGAAAGGGACAAATGTTGCATGGAACTGGGAAGAGGAATGTGAGGAGGAACAGGAGCCTTTCCCCTGAGGCCCTGGATCCAGTGCTATAACAGTCCTCACCAAAATAGTTGCCAGGCTGCAGAGAAGATACAAACCAGGACACACAGTGGGTCTGGAGTCCTGAGCGAGGTCTTAGGACTAAAGTTCCCAGCTTGGAGAGTGAAATGAGCACAGCGCAGGAGATGCCATACCTGCTTCTCTGCCATAGGCTACAATTACTCATCCCTCCTGCTGCCAAGTGTTTAATGACAGCTGAGTTGCTCCCCAGGAATTTCCCAGGGAAATACCTATGCTGAGTCGCTCCCTGTGCACTTATAATAGCCCTAAAATAAATTTTGCATAATTACTGGTACACCCTGCGGGATTACAGAGACACAGTCAAGTAGTAACTAAGGCTAATCTGAAGGCCTTTTTCTTCTCCAGAAACCCTGGGTAATAGACTGAGGCCACCATTCCTAAAGCATCTTCCACCATCAGTGCCCCTTCACTAAATTACAAGTGGGTTTTTTGTTGTTGTTGTTGTTTTCTGGATGCACTTAACTTTAAACCATCTGTAAAAACAGAGGTGAATTCTATCTCAAGGAATGTTTCTTGGGAACAAATGTGAAATATATGTAAATATTTATGATTGACTTTCGAGGTTTGTTTCTGGGGTTAGAGAAGAATCAACTATGATAGAATCATTAGTCCTCACCTGTGTGGTATCAGCCTACAGAGTCCTCACTTGCTTTATTGGTGTTTTACAGAAGGTGCAATGAAGCCCAAGTGAAAGGACTTTATAGACATCATAGGCAGAGAACTCAAATCTGTAGATGTGACAATGGAGAAACAGCTCAAAAAAAAAATAATAAAAAGCAGACAGCCTAAGCAAAATCAGAACGTGGCATCAAGATAAAGGTCCTCCAGGGGTGTGCCATGGAAAGACAGATATTCTAAGTGTGACCCCTATGCCTACAAATAAAGTTAAGCCAAGGTCATGCTGCTCAAAAGGAATAACAACCCCTTGCAAGAAGGCGTTGAGGCAGATACTTCCGGAATGTGGAGCACTGTTAAGTAGTTCGTGGAAGATGCAGTTGGTTTCGGTAGCCACCATTGCATTACTTCATCAGGTTTTTCTCTTTTGACTTGTATTTGATTAGTGCGTGTGACTGACCCTCTGTCCCTCTCCTCTTATCTTCCACATCCTGGGCTTCATGGACACTATGCAGGAGCTACTTTACAGCTACTTTTTTTTGGTTTGTTTGTTTGTTTTTAATAAAGGGCATTAAGCATAGGTAGGATAATCAAACTTTCTTCTTCAATGTGTAGAAGAGTTACTATCTTCATGTAAGTTAATTCTTCTTTGTTTCCTCTAGCATGAACCCTGATGAACTTCAATAATTTATCAAATTCTAGAAGTAGAAGGAATGTAACATCTAAGGACTACCACAGCACTGTGTCAGAAATTCAAGAGAGGCAAAATTGGCTAGTTCACTACAGATCAGAATCATAACAAGACATCTGATACAGTAAACCATAATATTTCAGAAAGTAATCACATTTCAAAAGCATGGTAAATGGCTAATAAAACATAACCGCTTCAATACAGACCAACTCAATGTGGGAACAAGTTTTCCAGCCTCATCATTCCTATTCATTAGGGGCTATTTTCACACCTTGGTGAGATTTCTAGAAGAGGCTTCCATTAGTCAAGTGAGCAGTCGTGAACCCCTCTGGATAACTGTTTTCTTGGCAAAGCAAGTGGTTGTAGTACTAATTAACCTGCAAGTGTTTGAAGAGGTCTGAAGTCACTAAAGCTCATAGATGCAGTCATCAGATAAGGTGTTTGAAGCCTTATAATGTTACCTAACCAAAGTATCATGAATGGAAAGTGGCTGAGCTGCCGTGAGCATCTCCTAAAAGTCTGCCCTCTAAAGTTTAGTCTCCCTTCCTTCTACCAGCTTATTCTAAGTAGCAAAATATAAACTGGTTTGCTTTATCAGGGGGTTTAGAGTGGAAAAGAAGGTCTATTACCTGTTCCCATTCTCAGTGGTAGAAGGAAAGAAAGAGGAAGGCTATGGCGGGGAAAAACCCATATTTATCTGACTGGAAACTCAGC